AGCTGACTGATGGATGTCTCCGACTTCCTGTTGCTCCTGAATGGACGAATGACGAACGTCTGCGCGAACAGGCAGGAAATTCATCTTGTCGCTGAGTGAAGGCGATGTCACGTTTTTGCCATATCACTGGACATTTTCCATGGTATGGTGACAAAAAGATTCCTCTCTGTCAAAAGCTTATAATTAAACCTTATAAAACCAGGCTTTTTTTTCACCCGCTGCATTAAAAAGTCTTTAAAAATTGTACCGTACAAGTGCAACGACTCAAAGGACACTAATGTGACAAACAGGAAGTGATTCTTAACACTAATAATGTGCAGCTGCCAAGCTCTGGAAAGCTGCTGCAGCAAGAGGTCACAAAGGCTGGTGTTCGTTCAGGTCGACACTGTTTTAATACAGATGACCGACTATGTGAATGTTACTTATCAGTCGATTTTGTTGTACGTTTAAGGAAAGGAACATAAAAGAGTGGAACGGACTTAAAATGGGGTCCAGATGTTGACATGAAAGGAGGTGAAAAGTGAGGCAGCAGTGTGAGGGAGTGAGAGAGTGGGAGTCAGAGCCACAGTTTATATCAAAAAGAAGAGTGATGACCGTCCCAAGGCCAAGCTCCATGCTGCCTTTTCTAAACAGTTTACACTGGACATCCCCAAAACACCCCCCTCTCCCCCCACACACGCAAGTACGCCGTCCATAAAACTTGCACACACTCACTTACAGTACAAGCAAGACATGTTGACAAAGATTGAATAAATGGGAATTCTTACATAATAGTCTCAGTTATTTATATAGAAATTTACTTCTCAAATACTTGAATAGTGCAAACTTTATTATTATTTTTTTTTACTGTTGGAGACCACCACTCTGATCCCTCTTGTGGTGGGAAACGTCACTGCAGTGACCACATAGTAAAATGCTCAAGGAACTTGGAGTGATGCAATGAAGTACAATAGAAGAGGGCATGTAAGGTTAAATAAACAAAAAATAAAATTTATTTTAAAACAGGAGAAATACAGACGGGCGTTTAAAAAAAAAGAGCGCTAAAATAATTCCTAACCCTTGTTAAGTTTTTATTATCTTTACTTAATATCTATTCATATATACATCCGGCCCTGTGATGGACTTGCAACCCGTCCAGGGTGTACCCCGCCCCTCGCACAGTGATTGCTGGACATGGGCACCAGCGACCCCTGTGACCCAAAATGGAATAAGCGGGTAAAGAAAATGGATGGATGGATGGATATATACATCCATTATATTTTATCCCCCCTTCCTTTTTAGGCTGTGGGGGTATTGGTAAGTCCATCACAGTTTACTTCATATCCTGCAGTTACAATAATCTCTGCTCAAACCTTCACACCACTGCCAATACTTGACCTTTATCAGTTTGAGACCGTGTGTGTGTGTGTGTGTGTGTGTGTGTGTGTGTGTGTGTTGTTATATAGCACTACTGTGCAAATTCAGTCAAACATAAATTCCTCTTGTGCATTCCACAAGACTTAAGTCACCTCAGACATAATATATAATAATGAAAATTAGATCTCTGGAGCAAAGCCACAGATTATTCTCTAAACTCTCCTGGACGTGACTTATTCACATGCACAGTGTACGTTGACCGCTAACACAAACCACAGTGCCTGCAGCTGTAAGCTCTCCAGGTTTTATAGAGTGCTGTTGGACCAAAAAGATGACTTAGCTCTTATTTAAAAGGCATGACTCATCAAGCTGTGGGCCAGTTCCTCCACAATGTTAAAGTAACAGATTGTTCCACTCTCCTGAAGCAACACACGTGGCTCCCAGAGGATGGAAGTTCAATTCTGTGATTCAGGTTTTTAATCATGTATCATTTTGAGGTTTGGCCTTTATGGCTCCTGTCACCAGCTGGTCAACTGTGGTCCAGATTTTGACCAAATGATATGGATTCCGATGTGTTCTCTTACATTTATAGCTTTTCCAGTCTTTATGGCAGTTGGTGTTGATCATGGCAGGAGTCTGTGGCACAAGTTGAGAGAGGCTTTAGGTCGTTTTCATGCCTGATAGTAGACTCAGTTATACTGGGGACCAAAATTCAGAACATTTGTTTACATGTACAGCTGATGTGGGTCTCTTTCACTCTGTACTGACTCAATCGAGCCTGTGGTGGCACTGCACCAAGAACTACTGAAGGAAATGACACAAAAACCTCTGAATAAGACACTTCTTCTTCTTCTTCTTCTGGAAATAAAAACAAAAATGGAGTGGAGTCAAATTTTAGCGTTTTTAGGTTTTCTGTTTTGTCATTTTTTTCAACAATGAGCAGAAGATGAGGCAGAAGACCATGGAGAATGTTGTTTTTCACACAGGGCAGCTGAGACGGCTCTGTATGAGGTAAGAGAAATGCACATTTGTTTGCCCTGCGCTGTAGTCCGCTTCCTGCTTTTGGTGTGGTCTCCAGTCTGCTTTCATTCACACTGCATTTGAACCGCGCTAGAGTTCACTTCAACCGAACCGAGACCTAGGTTTTTAGGTGGACCAGAGTTTGCTCTTTTGGTACGCATTGGAGTTCAATGGCACATTCACACCTCCCCAAAGAAACCGGACTTTCTAAACAAACGGACTAGAGTTTGATTCAAGCGGACTAAACAGGGCTGGTGTGAATGCACCCTGAGAAAACCCATGCAACCATATGAAGAACATGCACAATCCACACAGAAAGACTCCCAAACTCAACCCAGGGCTTGAACCCAAGGCCTCCTTGATTTGAGGCAACACTAGCATGTTTACATGGACATAAGTAACCAGATTAAATGGCCATTCGGAAAAAAAAAATGCATCATGTAAACGCCCCGTTCAGATTATTTTTTGTTGATTCAGCTCAATCCAAATGAATTTGTAATCTGAATGAGACGGGTGGTTTATGCCGATTCATAATCCGAACGGTGTGCCTGTAAACACTTAATCTGATCATTTTATTCCGGTCGTGGAAACCTGACCTGACCGCGCATGTATGATCTACGTCAACCTCACGTATTTCCGCCTGGCTGGATGCCGATATGTCGGGGAAGCAAAACTGGTCGTAGAGCGACAACATTTCTACTAGAAACTTTGTAAGAGCTCAGAATGATCTGTATTACCTGTAGCTCAGTCAGGGAGTGCAGCAGCGTCTCCACCGTCATTAAAACCTGTCGCACGTCCATTTTGGGCGCTCAGGTTTGTTTGCGTTCATCACAGAAGTAGAACTTTTTCTTCTGTGTTTTTTTTTTTTATTAAAGTTTACCACTCTGTGCATGTCAGTACTTCTATTCTGAATAAAAGCCCACTGCATGTAAATGCTCACCGTGAACAGATTGTGCGTATTTAAACGATATATTTGGATTATTTTATCCAAATACATTTCAATGTGATCAAACAATTGTGCGCATGTAAACATACTGTAGCTAGTGTTAAGAACTTAAATGATTGAAGAACCAATTTTGATGGCTCTACTTGAATCTTGACCAGATTTAAGGTCAGAATGTTTTATTTATTTTTTTTTAACTAACTCAGGGGTTGATTAAAAAAAAAAAAAGAAGTGTGACTGCAAATGTTATATTTGTTTAGATGGTTTACACGTGAAACTTGGAAAAAAAAACAACTGATAAAACACCAAATACTGTTTATTGAAATGCCTCCTGTTTTATTAGATTAAATACTATTGAATATACAAAATAATAATAAAACATATTTTGACAAGTGTGTCCTAATGTTATGCCAGATCAGCAAAGTATAAAATTATGTAATTCCCTGCTAATAATTTTAGGTCATACAAAGGTCAAATATGTTGAAGCATTTTATTTACAAACAATGCAAAGAATCATAATTAATATGTTTCAATGTAGCAAAACATAAAGAATCAATATTCGTGTAACACAGATCTACACAAAAAATAACTCCAAATACAAAAAGAAATAAAAAACAATAATAATGTGTTCATCATTTGCGAAAACTCTACATATTTTTGAAAAAAAAAAAGTTATGTTGAGTATAAAATAAATGTTTTTTTTTTAAATCTATCTAGAATTTATGATTAAAGAAAATGTAAATTATATTGTTGAAGATTTTGTTTCTTCATAGACAGCAATTTTGCATATTTAAAAATTTTGTAGCTTTTTCTCAAATATTTTCTCAAAATGATGTGTTAAAGCTCAAAATGAGATTTGGTTCAATATGTGTTTTTGAAATTAATCACAAAATTTTTTTTTTTATCAAGAAAATACCTAGTAAAATCAAAAACTAATAACGTCAAACAGAAAATAGACAATATAGAGAAATGAGAAATAATGCCTCAATATGGAATAGAAACATGATTATAAAAATCATAAACAACCATGAACTAAAGTGATTGTGTGCCACTGTGGAATTGGCTCTTATTTACTGAAAATGCAAGGTTTCCTAAAAACATTATGTTATTAGTCGTTTGCTTTGATGCATCAAACCATTACTGTTTCAAACACTGCCTCTCTTCTCATTCAATAGCCTGAATGTTGCTGGTATGGCAAAGTTCAAGACTAGAAAAAATAAAATAAAATCCAACAGTGCAACACACAATTAATAGAAAACAAGGTTTAAAACATCTATTGTATAAATAATCAATGCACAGATGCATGCTTATGATTCAAGTCTTTAAAAGCTGCTCAGTTTTGAATCTCTGAGACCGACGTTCCATCGGATTTCACCTTTACTGTATGTCGTTCGTATATTCTGAAAGGACACTGTGTCTTCATCAACTCTTGACTTGATTTATGTGGCTTCAAAGTAGCTCACAATAAGAGACTTCAACCAACCGGAGGTCTTTTTAGAAATAAAGTTTTTAGTTGCTTTCGAAATACAAACCTAAACATCACCGTAGACGTTTCAAGGACCTATGACGATTTGAAAAAAGGTAACTTCCCTGGATACAAGGCTTGAATTTCTTTCTGTCAAGTCATATTTATTTTTTAAAAGTGTTGTCAGCACACAACACATTCACATGTCAGTGGAAGTTAGCAGTCCGCCTCAGTCTCTGTATTTGTGTTCAGGCTGTGCTGATGCATTCGCTCCAATATTCGATGTATACTACTGAAGCTTGGTCTATCTGAAGACTGTGTGCTCCAACAAAGCCTCATCAGATTGTACAGCTCCAGAGGACAGTTTTCAGGACAAGAAAGAATAAGTCCATTCCTCACATAGTAAATTACCTCCTCGTGACCCATTCCATAATATGGCTGCATCCCGTGGGAGAAAATCTCCCATAACACCACACCGTAGGCCCACACATCTGATTCTGTGGTGTAACGATTGTAGAAAATGGATTCTGGGGGCATCCAACGAATGGGGATGGCATCATTCTCATTGGCTTTGTAGTAATCGGCTGAGTAGATATTTCTAGAGAGGCCAAAATCTGCAATCTTCACAATCATTTCCTCTCCGACCAGGCAGTTACGGGTTGCCAGGTCGCGGTGAACAAACTTGCGCTCTGAAAGGTAGGCCATCCCTGCAGCGATCTGCTTGGAAATTGATAGCTGTTCGGCACAGGAGAGCGATCCCGTTTCCACATCCGAAGAGGAACTGCGAACTGAGAGGCTTGCACGGCTGAGGGGGCGCACCGACTGGGATGGAGATTGGCGACGCAGGAATTCGTTTAGATCCCCATGAGCCATGTACTCAAACAACAGACACATTGGTTTCCCCACAGCGCACACACCTGAGGAGAGAACAAATGAAAGATCTTAACTTTTAGGTTTAGAAGTGGAATTGAACAATACATCATTTCTAGAATAGTGGTGAACGTGTGTCCTGTCCAGGGTGTACACCACCTCTCACACAGTGACTGTTGGATTTGGGCACCAGTGACCCTGCGACACTTGTATGCTTGTATGTATGCATGGAGTTCTAGAATTGCACTGCTTGGGGTGACTGCGTGTTGGAGTAGCTCTGCTACATTTGTTCTGAGATTTTGCTTTTGGAAACTTTAATTCCTCTTTTGCTGGATGTAAATCACTTTTTTGGATGATTGTTTCCTCTGGCATTGGATGTCGTGCCGCTAGAAGAGTTTTTAGTGAAACTTTTTTAGTTTTGAACATTTGTTATGATGCGTAACCATAACAACAAGCTGTTTTTTTTTTTTTTTTAACAACCGGGAGCAGCTAATTAACATCTTAAAGCTCAAATAATATCACTGCTACAGCCCCAAATCTCAAATTACTTGAAAAGGAGGCGCCGCAGATGCATTTCCATCTCCTTGCTGGCTGTGCTTGAGTGCGTAACTGCTGAAATCCTGGAACTAGCAAGAAACATGGCTCGTGACAGCAGAAGGACCGGGATCATCCCCCGGCACCTGCAGCTGGCTGTCCGCAGCAACAAGCTCGGCAGACTACTGGGAGGAGTGGCCATTGCTCTGGGAGGAGTTCTGCCCAGCATTCGGGCGGTCCTGCAGCCTGGGGAAACCGAAAGGCCAGCCAAGTCTGGGTGAACGGATCGGACTGTATCTGCAACCAATTTCTTCGGATCTGCTGTGGGACAGACCTTTACAAGAGATCCTTCCTGCCTACATCCATCAGCATTTATAACATCACCTAATTAAACCAGGATGATGAGTTACAACATTTATTTTCCTTTTGAGATTTATAAAATATTTTTGAATTGGATTGAATGTATACATGGATGTATGTATGTATGAATAATTTGTTGATCTCAGTTTTAATTTAGGGGGCTAACAAATTTCCAGAAAGCATTATTGCTATAAAATACAATGCATTATATATGAACACGCAATTAATCTTATATTTGTTAGCTATAAAATTATTTATTGACAATAACATCAATGTAAATTATTTTACCATTGTCTTATTTTAATTTAAATGCATGAACTACTAAACTGTATGCAGTTAATGCTCTGACACGCAATGACTGATAATGACTGTCAGCATTACAACTGATTATTTTTTTGTACTTAAAAATGGTGAATTACAGATTAATTTAAAATATGTTATATTAAAAATACCAACATTTTTGAAAAAATTAAAATTAAATAAAATGTGGAAATGTGTTTGACAAAAAAGATCCAGGAAAAACTAGGGCCTCAGATAAAATAAAAACCTATGTAGCATTGTGAATAAAACAATATACAACAGAAAGGTCAAATTACATTATTTGTACTAAACTTAGAAAACCTATGTATGTTTAATTTTTCTTTATACATTTCATGACAAAATTTTCACTTCTGTAGCATAATAAGATCATAAATATATGAAAGAAACTATGCGTTTCATAAAGTATTATTTGGCTATAATTAATAGTATTTTAACTAGAAATGTATTCAGTGGTGTAGAACATACAAACCTTAACAATAATTGACTGAAATTAAACCTCAGCCAAATGTTTTCATACAGTGTAAATATAAAGGAAAGATGGAAGTCAATATGAAACAGTGGATTTGAATATTTGATGATTTCCACTATGAATGTTTTATCCTCTTTGCCGAGCTTTTCCAAATATTGTGTTTGCATTTTTACTTGTTTCATTTTGAAACTTTTTTTAATTCATAATAAACAGCAACATCCAGATCAGATAAAGGTTTGCAACATGCCTCCATGTGATGTTTGGTGAGAAGAGGAAGTGTATTGGGCATGCTCTGCTTTTGTACTGCAGGTCACAAATTAAAATGTTAAAATACAGAAATTAAAATGTTTCCTCTGTAATCTGCACACTCTCATGCAACAAAACATGGGCATATGAACATATGGCATCTCTAAATTTGACTTATTCATTTAATAAAGGCATATTTTTACATGACACATTTAGTATATTATTAGTCTTAAGGGTAATTAGAGGTTAAAGAAATAATCTGCTCGACCTTGGTTTCATGTGTACCAGATACGCTACTCTGCAGAATACTCATCTAAAATAAATGTTGCCCAGATCTAAGCTGAAAAAAAGAGAAACACTAAAGTACACTGAAATGTGAGTTTGTGTTGATTTAAAAAAAAAAAATCCACAAACTTCCTTCAGCAGGACCAATGACCGATGGCTCAGTTTACTAGTACTGAAAAGAGCATGCTGTACCTCTCTAAATGTATTCCTTAAAGTATATTTGGATTTGAGCTGTTTGTGTTAGATAAGATGGGCTGTATTAGAGCAGAAAAAAATTTAATGGAGGACATTTGTTTTAGCCAGGCCAACAAAAGCACATTAGTTGTCAAGCTGCGTTCGTTTACTGGCAAACAGTCGTATCTTGAGTGCGTTTACAATATCCTGGTGAAGATCTGGGAAAAATGATTTAATTCAAAAAATTTACTGCGTGTGACAGGAAACTAAGAGTTAAATAGAGCTGAATAAAAGTACTTAGACTGCTGGAGATGAGCTTGAATCATTGTGTGCATATTCTTTTCTTGTTATAAAGCCTTGACTAAATGAGTGCCAAAATAAAAGTTCATATCGCGATGTAAGTGTATCATTACAAAAAAATATTTTCTATATCCATCCATCCATTATCTTCTGCTTATTCCAAAGTTGGGTTACGGGGGCAGCAGCTTGAACAAGGAGGCCGACATCTCTTTCCACAACCGCCTCTTCCAGCTCTTCTGGGAGGACTCCCAAGGCGTTCCCAGGCCAACTGAGAAACATAGTCTCTCCAGAGTGGCCTTGGTCTTCCCTGGAGTCTCCTCCCAGTTGAACATGCCCAAACCAGCAAAACTGCTGGCATAGCCCTACAGAACTTCACTGAACTGCACAAGGCAAGGTCAGTGAGCAAGGCCATGCTGATTCTGGCAGATCCTGATCACCCACTCCATGGTGAGTTCAGGTTGCTTCCATCTGGATGCAGGTACCTGCTGCCCAGATGTAGAACAAACAGACTGAAAAATTCATTCATCCCTGTATTGATCTGGCGAACAGTGATGCTTTCATGTATTATTTTAATGTCTCAATGTCGTGTCTAGTATGGATGTTTTGTGTGCCTAATGACTGTGAAACAAATTGCAACTTGGAGATAATAAAGATTCTTGAAATTGAACCCAAGAGAGGCGCCTGGAAGCATCCTTACCAGATGCCCGTACCACCTCAACTGGCTCCTCTCGATGTGGAGGAGCAGCGGTTCTACTCCAAGTCTCTCCCGGATAACTGAACTTCTCACCCTATCTCTAAGTGAGAGTCCAGCTACCCTGCGAAGTAAACTCATTTCAACCACCTGTATCCGCAATCTCATTCTTTCAGTCACTACCCAGAGTTTGTGACCATACATGAGGGAAGGAACATAGACTGACTGGTAAACAGAGCTCTGCCTTACAGCTCAGCTTCCGCTTCACCACAACAGACTGGCACAGTGTCCGCAATACTGCAGATGCTGCACCAATCCATCTGTCTCACGCTCCATTCTTTCACTCGTGAACTAAACCCTGAGATACTTGAACTCCTCCACTTGAGGCAGAACCTCACCCTCGACCCTAAGAGAGCAATTTTTATATATTTTTTATATAATCAGTGCAAACATCTATTTACACAATAAGCATTGAGTATGTATGGGGCAGCTATTTATGTGACCAACAATATTCCTTCCTTCCTTTGTTTCATTTTAAGTCAAAACTCATAATTGATGAGATAGTATGAAAGTAAATCAAGACTTCACATTTACGTGTGTATTTTCTTGTGATCAATACAAATTCATATTCTCCCCAATTATTGGAGTTTTTAACAGTTTTTTTTGTTTTCTAGATAACTTTATCTATTTACATCCTTGTTTCACATGCACCCCCACCAACGCATCTTTACCTAGGAGTCGAACAATGTTAGGATGATCAAATTCAGCCATGAGTGCTGCCTCTCTCTGGAAGTCATTCTGCATATCAGCCGAGGCTTCCTCCTTCAACATCTTCACAGCCACCATTGTGAAAGATTCTGTGGACAGCAGGCCTGGAGCTCTGCAAACAGAATGAAATACACAGAACATTCATTTAAATGTAACTAACTACCAAGAATTCAGCGCATGTCAGAAAGCGGTTTTAATTTCCAATAACGGTAGCCTTTATTGTACATGCAGATTGCAGCCATTGGTTCGCAAAACGAGAGACAAAGCTAAATATACAAGTTGTAAATATTCTCAGATAATCCTTGAACACCGTTGTCAAACAAGTTGTTGACAGATGTATGCCATTTTAGAAATAAAACAGCCCCATGACTACTCAGGTCTGCTATTTAGTCTGATGAAAGAGATCAGTGTGAGACATTATGGCCTGCTGTGAAAAGGTTCAAGGTGGTCTGAAAAGGGTTCCTGTAACACACTTTGTGAATGATGCATCTGTTCTCAAAATGACCAGTGTCCTTGTTTAATCAGGGTGTCCTCTACCCCATATCCTAGTCCTGTCTCTGTACTTCATTTTGTCCCTACGCTTGAGAACTATCCAACATTATGTTGATGAGTTGGCATGAATACGCCTGCATTTTTGCAAACACGTATGCTTTTCCTCTTGTTCTTACATGTTTTTTTCAACAATTGTTTTCATACTTTATTTATTTTTTACCTTTTTACTTGTATCGCCTAGTTGACAAAGTAAAGTATGCCTTTTATACATCGTTTTTGTTCTCACCTGGCTTGGAAAACTCGTCCAAAGGCTCCCTCGCCGATATCTCTAACATATTGAATATTATTTCTGGGGTACTCCAGAGCCAGTAGCTTTGAGTTCAGCAGCAGGGGAACCCTCTGGTACATGGGGTTCGGGTGGAGTCGATCCAGCAGGAGCTCAGATGGAAGAGCACTCAGCGTTGGGGTCTTCGTCACCCTTCTAACATGTAGAAAATACGAGGGGTTAAAAAATTGAAAGCGTAAAGGGATATTGCAGATTTTTCAGCCTTTTCACCGTTTTCTGTTTCTCCATTGCTTCCGTCGCTTGAAGCAACCAATGATGATAATTGTGAGGAAGACCGCAGTTGCCATTGAGGTCAGGACGACGACGATGACAGACATTGAGTAAGCAGGTGATGATGTAGTAGTTGCTGGAGGGTGACGAGCGTTCTGATTTGGCACCGTCAACGCGGGCTTCATCACTTTTAAGACCGAAGCAGAAAGTCACTAACTCAATTTATGTTCAAAAACTGATTTATTCATTGTTATGCACTTTCCTGTTTTATTTAAGAAAACCCAACTTTATAGTATTTATTTAGGTGGTCTTGAGTACAGTTTTCAGGATATTTCTCTTGGAATTAGTTGTTTTTTTCTTATTTCACTCTTTCCTGTGTCTGGCCGGTACATGAATCATTCAACTTATCTACTCAAATTATCAACCAGTTTCGTGTGTACGCACGCATCAAAGCTTACAGAGAACATGTTTAGATGTTTTTCAGCACTTTTTACAAGCAGCCTGTCAAAAAGATGAAAATAGCAATTTTTTATATATATATAAAGTTTCAAAGAAAACACAAATAGATATGTTAAAATGAAGAGTTTATATGACATTGTGATTCCCAAAGAGCAATTAATTGAAAACTTGGGAGAAATCGTGTACACCAAACGCAAGATTCAACTTTCAGTCCCCACGAAAAGTCTATCTTAGTTCTTTGTTGATGACCAGTTATTATTTTAACAGATAATGATAATGGATCTGCAATCTGTTTTAAGATTAACTTCGCTTTCAGACGTGGACTACAAAAGGGGTTTGATGAAAAAAGCCCACACCTGATGCCGGGGCTGCCTCCCCACACTGAGGCACAGCACAGTACTCCCAGCGTATGTTCACATCTGAGGTGTAACACCATGGCTTCTCACTGATTCCTCCAGGGTTCCTGCAGTGGTTCTCCGAGTCCATCAACTCTGGAATGACCTCTACGGAGAGGCGATGCTGGTGGGGGACCTAGAAGAAAGTGTTTTTTTTTTGTCTTAATAAAAGTTTATATTTAAAAACAAGTTAAAGTCACCTTTAAAAAAAAAAAAAAGATTAAGATGACCTTCTAAACACATTTCTGGAACGTGTACCACTGTCTTAAAACTTCAAATAGCCCTAAATTGTCCTGCTGTCATCAGAGAATTTCTTGACAGAGCTTGCAATTCATGCTGCCAACTTAAACATCCATAATCATCAAAAAGTGCTGGTCATGCATCCTGAGAGACATGACGATGTGAGAGGGCTGGATTCAGCATCCCATTACTGCAGCTGAAAATGTGAAGCAACAGTCTCATAAGGTTGGGTTCTGACTGACCCCAGAGGTCCTGTTAACATCACGTCTTAAAAACAAAATTGCATGGTAAAATGCTTGTCACCTTTTTTCCCTATAAAGTAATGTATCTTATTTTCCTTTGTGTATTCACCAATACACCCCTATTTTCCTCCTCCAGATGTTTTTTTTTTTTTTTGCAGTCCGATAGCAATGACGTGACTAACAGAACACAATCTAGTTTTCTATCAGGCCAAAAAGGTTTAAGAGCTGTCTCAAATTATGCCTTAATTCCTATTTAATTCATACCAGTTAAATTCTTACGACATGATCTATTAAACTATTTTAAAATGTACTGTCACCTCATTACATTATCCGGCTGGTATTACCTCATCTTAGCCATAAGTAAACTTGATGAATCATGCCTAGGACTGAGTTGAACACCCCGTCTTAAGAGGTAATAAAATGTGCAAATAAATGTGTCAGCGTCTTTGGGGTACGTTTTTGTGGCCTTTCAACTTCCTGAAGGTTTCAGTTCTTTGATTAAGTCATCTCATCAAACACAAAAATGCAGCATACTGTATATACAAAAGCTGCTCATATTTTCCAGTTCTGTGCAGCTTAGTTTGACACTAGTTTGACTCTATGATTCAGCCCAAAATAACATTTCACACACTTTTAATAAATTAGTTTTGCCACTCATTTAAAAAGCTGTCAATGAAAAACCTGTTAAAAATCATGACTTTGTAATATCCTAAATTTCATATGTATTTTACTAAAATTGGACTTGTGACCCATCCTGGGTGTACCACATCACTTGCACCGTGACTGCTGGATATAGACACTAGTGACCCCTGTGACCCAGAAAGGAAGAACCGTGTAAAGATAATGGATGGATGGATGAATGGATCATATAATTACAGTTTTAGTTTGAAATATCAATTGTATAGTATAAGCAATATTGAGTGAGTACTTCAAAGTTCTGTGTACTGAAGTAGTGCACACTGCATGTGGACATATTGCATTATAATAGAAATGAATTGACTGTTCTTGGATTGAATCAGGATTGAATTTATGAATTGGTTTTATTTATTTAGTTATATATTTAGCATTCTGCTCTGAGATGACTTTTGTTGTGGATTTGTGCTATATAAATAAGTTGAATTGAACTGAACTGAATACAGTCAGTATGGGTTTTCTGAGAGCTTCCAAAGGCATCAAACTACTGGAAGCTGCTCTGAAAGTATATGAAAGAATAATAGAAACAACACAACAGCATTTGAGATTAAAGGTGGCGTTCATCAGGGTTCATTTCTCAGCCCACTCTTTATTGTTGTAATGGATGCAGTTACTGAGCTTATTAGGAGAGAAGTGCCGTGGGATGTGTTGTATGCAGATTACCTAGTTTTGGCTGGAGACTCTGAAGTTACTCTCCAAGATAGTTTCAGACAGTGGCAACAGGTACTTGAGAGTAAAGGTCTGAAAATAAATGCAGCAAAAACGGAGACCATGGTCTGCTCGAAAGCTAACGAAACCTTAACAATTACTGATAATAGAGAAAATGTATTGAAGCAGTTTGAAGTATTCAAGTATCTGGGGTCAGTGATGAATGCAAAAAGAAGCTGTGAAGAAGGGAGGGTAAGTTTGAGATTGTCATCATTGTATGTTCCCATACAATGGTAAAAATGGTTCTCTGGATTTAACCCATCACACCTGAGATACACCCAGGTGGAACAGTGGGCAGCTATGTAAGCACCCGGAGAAAGAATACATTAAATACAGAATTGGTGAGGCGTAGCAAAAATGGAAGGAGTTGACAAAAGGATGCTGATTCATATTAAAAAGAAAGTGCACAAGATGGTGGTGCACCCAGTCTTGCTTTGTGGAGCTGAAGTATGGACATTAAAGAGAAAGGAAATGGAATGTTATGTGGGATTCTTGGAGTATCCCTCAAGGATAGATGCTGAAATGACGATATCAGAAAAACACTTGGAATGGCATGCATCACCGACAAAATACAGGAATTGAGAACGAGATGGTATGGGCTTGTGCAGCAAATGGAAGGTAAAAATGCTATTAAATGCAGACGCTTTTTGTCAATGAAGCAGGGGAGGGCAGAAGAAGAGGTGGATGGATACTGTATGTTATAAGATATGAAGACACTCCATCTCATAACAGACGATACACGAAACAAAGCAAAATGATGAAGGAGAATCCATGTGGCTGATCCTGCTTCAAAGGAGCAGGACCTACAGCTTGAAGGAGAGGGAGGGAGCATTTTCTGAGACGTATTTTTATTTCATATCCAGGACAATATCTTGTTTTAATATGTGGAGGGTATATGACATAAACATCTACTGTTATCAGCCTACAGAGATGATGGTCTTGTCCCTAATTTAACTTCTGAGTTTCTGTGGAATGTTCATATATCTGTGTATATATATAT